TATCAGTAAGTTAGGAAAAGAGAAGGGGCATGAGTTCTCCAGATATCATGTTTGTCTAGTGACTTTTATAGGTGGGCCTTTGAAATGTTTCTTAAGCAGGATACGTTTAGTACTGTGCTTTGCATTTGGAGGTTCTCAAAGCAACATGAAGGAAAAATATAAAACCACGAAAAGTGAATCATGTAGGTTGGTACAGTATTTTTACTAATAAAAACAAAAAGTGGCAGCAGCACCTACCTACTACCAGCCGTCACAAGTAAGGTGTCAAGTTATTGAATACATTTCAATAAATTGAGGAAAAATGGATTACCTTTTGTCTATTAAAATGATACACAATGTTTCTGCTGCTCTTGAGAGAATTAAGGAAGGAATTTGTTTGTTCCAATGTACCTCAAACCCTTATGCAAACAGAACTGTGATACCACAATACTCATTTATAGTCAAAGACAATACTTGGTTTTTAAGAAGAGCAACACACAATGTAACTGCAAATAAACGTCACACACACACACAAAAATGAACCAGACAATGTTAAGTTCCAATGAAGAATTCTTTGAATTACAAGCTGCATTATAATAATCATTGTCAAGTATATTTGCCTCCACAGTTTGCGATTCTTTGGAAGACTAAAAAACATTCTCTTCCTTGCTGCCTACCTCCCTCTTCCCTGGCATCTCATCCTGTCCACTTCTTCTTACCATACACACCAAATTACTCATTTATTGATCATTGGGTCAAAACTGTATTCAGAGGGGGAGGAAAAAAAGGCAGGGGAACAAAAGGAGAAGGAAAGGGAGAAGGAGAGAGACAGAGAAAAGAAAGAGAGGGAGAGTGGGAGTCAGGGAGAGAGGGAGAGAAAGGGAATGAATGATATTACACATGTGGATGTCTCCTCCAAAAAATGTATGTTAAAAAGTGAAGTCTAGGTCAAGAATAAGTATTATTTTTCAATAGATGAGCCCAGAGAAGATCTTAGAAATAGGTGTTAAACAAAGACTAGTTAGGTGGCGCCCATTTGTTTAGCCCACTGCAATTCACTGAATACCTACTGTAGTATAAGGCATGGAAGTCAGTAGTGGTATTTAGGAAAATGGAGGACTTGAGAGTTGCTTCACAGATATAATGAGAAATTAATGTTCACTGAAAGGCAAACTTTTATTTTGCTACCAAAATTCATAACTAACAAGATCCAAAGATGCAACAAACACTCCATCAGTTCTGTTGAGTATTTCCCCCTTGAAATATTCTTTTGCCAACATTCATGACACTATATGTTCTTGTAGTTATGGTTCATTGTTTGTTTATGTCCTAGTCTGCTTTGCAGGTTTTGGGCCTTAGTTTGTTATGTAAATATGATGCTCCCTAGGTTTCTGACCTAGCTTCTCATTTGGGCTCACTACATACTTCCCCTGAGAGTTATGTTCTCATCAGCTGTGCGATATGGAGCATATCTGATGGCATCAAATTGTGTGCATCTTCTTCAAAGCCCTGAGAGCTCCAGACAAATGAAACTTGCCCAACTCACCCCACAACACTGCCACCTGGGCATTTCAAAATATATAAAATTGAAGTACTAGACCTCCTTCCTTAATTAGCATAATTAACAATGAAGTTGCTAAGCCAAGAATTCCAAAAGTCGTTATTAACTCTATCCTTTTTATTTCCAATCTCAAAGTTCCACTGCTCTTTCTTTCTTTCTTTCTTTCTTTCTTTCTTTCTTTTTTTTTTTTTTTTTTTTTTTTTTTTCTTTTTTTTTCGGTACCAGGGACTAAACTCAGGACTGTGTGCTTGCCAGGTGGGTGCAGGAACACTAAGCTATATCACCGCCCGTGAGGTTTTGTTTGTTTGTTCCTTGTTTTTCCCCACTGCTTTTTGTAATCTAAACTATATTAAGAAACTAACACTAATTTTTCAGGCCCTCTGCTGCCACTCAATACAGGACACCAACATCTCTTGCTGAGATTCTTACAAATATGTGCTTAACTGCTCTATCTGGTTTCTAACATAATGCCCTCACTGACACTGGTATTTCAATTCACGAACGCCTTTGTTTGCAAACAGAAGAATTAGGCAAAATTTTGTTTTCGTTTGCAAACTGCAGAAAGACTGATGCCTTCTTCCCCACACAAACACAAATGTGGCTCTCTTTTCCAGAGTCACAGAACAAAATTAACATTTTGAAAAATTAACTTCATGTATTTTCAACTTTACAGCCAGTTACCTATTCGAAATGCATATTTGATCACACTGTTGTCCTTGTCAAACTCTTCCCTGGTTTTGCATATAGTAAAGTCCAGAATCCTTTATGATATGGTTTAGACCGCTGCAGACCTTACAAAGTCCTGGTTTGCCTGTCAGATGTTACATTCTACCATAAAGAACTTTTAGTTCTTTAAATATGAAATTGTGTCCCTTTTATCATAAGCTTTCCCATATCCTTTCCAGTGCCTAAAACTTTTCTTAGCTTCACCCCAAACTTCTGTAAATAACTCCTAGCTACCAGTGAAAAACTGGCTTCCTTTGGGAAGTCTACGTAGATTGCCATGTGGTCAACCCGTCCTATCCTAGCTCAACCTATCCATGCGCAACTCAACCCCACTTCACTTCCATGAAACCCACTCTGACTGCCAACAAACAGCACAAGCGTTCTTTTATGCGCCCTCAGTAATTTACACAGCCCCTCTAGTACAATTTTCAGTACTTTATTATAAATAGTCTTTACCACTAATTTGTGTATAGAGGGCAAGAAGCAGAGACATGCAGCTTGCCTCTGAACCCTTAGCACCTAGTACACTGCCATGCACAATGTTACTGCTCAATCAATATTTGTTCAATGAATAAACAGAGGGCTTTCATTACAGGAAACCGGGAAGAGTTTAGAAATAAATAAAACTTTTTATTACAGGCAATTGGGAGGAGTTTGGGGATAAATAATATACCGCCTACTCTCCTTAAGGAGAATAGCATTAAATGCAGAATGTCTGTTCTACATAATTATAAGATGATAATGAGTAAATAAAATCGACTCCAATTTGGATACATGAGGATTTGCTAACGTTGCAAAATGGAATTAAATATTTAGCTCTCCCTTCTGGAATAATCTAATACACACTAAACACTTCTAGAAGACAGCTTTATGATTTTATATTACAGGTGAAAAAACAGGCAGAGCAAAGTTAATTGAGTAACCCAAGGTTACCCAGTGAATCAGAAGCAGAGCCAAGACTTAAAAGTCAAGGTTGTTAACCTCCAATCTTTACCGTTAGCATTTTTTGGAAACTATTTTGTTCTTTCTCCCCCAAAGTACTGTTGTAGTATTTTAAGAATTCAAAGTACATAACAGCCTTCTTCAAACTACACCTATTCTATTTGTATTTGAATGTAGAATATATATTCTAAACAATTAATACACTTTCCATGGATTTTTCTCCAGTCTTTAATAATAAAGGCTTTCATGTGAAATGCCTCTGCACTCATGTTTCTCTGAGAAGTGTCAGCACCTTGAATTATTACTGTAACGTTAGTATCAGATGTTGATCACCACAAGTGTCAACATTTAACTCTTCTGCTGTATCACAGCACACTGTATATTCGACATCTATAAACAACCATAGCTAGTTATCTACTGCATTCTATTGCTCTGAGTGGACACATTGGTAGAAAATGCTGCCAATATTTCATAAACATTTGAGAAGCAAAATAGACTATTAAATTTAATGGGATTACTGATTACAACACTTGTATTGTGAGAGAAATAATCTCTAAACTAGCTGTATTAGCACTTCAAAAGCCTAGATGAATATTCAAAGAATATGTTTATACATAAACTACTAGGGCCAATGGCAATCACAACACAGTATCAAAATGTCTCAAAAAGACTTTGTTACCTTCTCAGTATAGTGAATATACATAGAACTTTGCTTTTCACAACAAGTACTGCTAATATTCATATCACAGAGATGAGGGGCGGTTTACACACTCGAGGTTTTTCCTAGCTTCACAAATTTCCTAGTGCTTTCTTCCTATACATGAATATAGCATAAGATGTTAAAAAGAATTTAATCTGTACAAACTTGTAGTCAACATGCACCACTTTTATGGCATACACAGAACTGTAGTACTTCAGCATTTTCAGATCAGTTATATAACTTTTCTCTTCATTGTCACACCAACATATATAAAACTTCCAGTCACAAAATATTGCCCTTGTTCTTTTGACTTTATTTGACTCATTATTCATTCACTAGAAGCAAACATTTTTATCCCCAAAGCACTCAAAACAGCTCTGTGGGTCAATCTCTCGTCCAGTTCTTACAGTTCCAGGCCCACAAAGAACTTTAAATGTCCAAAATATTTTGTCATTTGAGTTTAATAACTATGTTTCCCTTCATAAAGATAGGCATTTGAGTTACCCATTCATGTTAGCCCAATGTAAAAAGAAGAGAGAACTTCCATTAGACACCAAATTAACATCATTTGCTTATACCATGAAAATGTCAATGAAATTTCCAATAGAATCTTCCAAATATTATTTTCCAAAAAATGTGCATACTTCCTGGGTAAATTGAGAGGTTATCCCAGGTAAATGTTAAACTCCATATAAGTGTTAACATGCCTGGTTGGTCACTAGTAGGTGACAGCCATGGAATAGAATACATTTGACTTTCACATGCAAATGAAGATTGCATGAATTCATCCTCATTCATCAGCCATGTTTTTGGGGGATGACTTTGCTATCTTTATTTCCTAATGCTGAAACTACCATAACGCTACAGCCAGGAATAAAGGCTGCTTGGAGTAATCTAGAAACTGAGTTGGCTTTCTGCTTTAGATTATAAATGACATCAAAGATGTCTAAAGGACAGCTTCAGTTCTAAAGTTTTGACATAGTATTTTTCACCCCAATGTTGTAGTAACCTCAATGTGACAATAATGAAAAATAACAGGGGAAACATGTTTTAATACCACAGATATTTGCTCTATTGGAAAAGTTACTTTACCTGCAGAGATTCCATTTCTTCATCTTTTCTTTGGGTCTCTTCTAGCAAACCTACAATAATAAAATGAAACATCTATGAAAATGTAATCATGGAGTACCTTTTATCAACAAATGCAATTCAGTCAGTAGTTTCTATAAGCTGTTGCCTAGAAAGAATAAAATTTTATGTAGAAATGTAAGAAGCAATGTTTTTAAAAATACCCTAGGACTCCAACTGGTGAGATGCAGACCATGCCAAGCATTAGCTGCTTGAGAAGCTCTGGGAGGTCTCAGCTTTAAAACAGACACCACAGGGTGACAACAAACCAATTAGAACTCCAAAATCATACCGATATTTTTAGAATTTGGTCCAATACTTACATAACTCAAAAGTAACAAAAAATATCCTTATAAAAGGGAAGATTCTTTTAAGAGAAAAATTACAACCATTTGCCTTTAAAATAGGCCACCATGCCAAGGTCTATCCCAAGCGTCAATTTTTATAATCAAATTTAAACATCCTGGAAAAATGAGTGTTATCAATGGAAGCGGAGCACCACCTCACTGTAAAGCCACATTAATTATCTTTTCACACTGAGAGGGTGGGAGCACTGAAGCTATATCTGAGACATTGGCATCATTTCAGAGAAATTAGTGGCTGGAAGGAAAAGTAAGTCAACTTAAGAAGGACCTATCTTACTGCAAACATACACCCATGGTGTCTCAGTGCTGTACATTAATTTATGAACTGGCTATAAACAAAAAATGATTTGGCAAGCAGAAATTTCTGCCTGCAGCTATACCACCCTGTGCTATGATCTTATTAGATCTCACAAACCTAAAGAATGCTGGGCTGAGTCAGAACTTGGATAAAAACTGGATAGAAACACCTACAGCAGTACACATTAGTATTAGCATTTACCTTACTCTGTTATTCATGTAGGTTACCAAGAGGCTATGCTACATAAAAGGAAAATATAACTTATAGAAACTCAATATGTATCCCAGAAAGATAAATGCAAATGTTTTTAGCAAATGCTATACTGGTTATAGCAGGAAGTAGGAATATACGGAATGGGTCGGAAAGCCAATCTGGTGTATGTCATAACCGAGTAGGCAAAATACTGAAACATCAGGAAACCCGGCAGATTATATAACTGATAGTAATAGCACTCTGAGACTACAAAGCTAAGAAGGCTATAGTGAAGGGGCAGGCAATCCCCACAAGACACAATGCCGTACCACTAAAGATAAGAGGTAGTTTTTCTTCTGTGTCCCTTAGAGGAACTGACTTTGCTTCTCCAAACTATCCTTAATTAACTAAATCAATAATGATAGAAGAACATGCTGATATTTTAGAGTACAATTTTTAAAGGGCATCTGGTTGGCATATCAGATTCTTAAGTTATAAGGTATATAAACAAACTTGGGGTGCAGCAGACTCCATACGTATCCTCAGTCATTCCTTTCCTCACAAGCTTATTATTTTGCATGGTGATGTTACAGCTACTTCCATCAAGACACCATGTATACCTGCTTCTTTCCGTCCTACATCTGGGCTGGTCTCTTGATTCTGTGAACAGGATACAGCAGCAAGAAAATGCGCCAATGTGCACAGAACTTCAAGAGGCCCTAAACACTTTTACTTTCTACTTGGGACCCTGTCATTACCATTTGAACAAGCCCAGGGAACTTACTAGGTAAAAAGAGAAGTGCATCTTAGGGCTCTTCCCACTCCTGCTACCATAAAGGTTGCCCTGCTGGTAGCCAGCAAATGTCCAGACAAGAACTGCCCAGAATCAAAGCTGTGTATAGATGACTCAGAAGTAAGCCTAACTAATAGCAGACAAGCTTCCCAACTAAGCCCAGTGCCAACACCAACTCAGAGATAAGGAACTTAAGAAATAAAATTTGGGAACCATAAGGAAGAAGTTGCCAACTGATAGCAACCAGTTGCTAACTGAATACAAAGCATTTGGAATATATTTAAGAAAAATTAACAAATACATGGAGAAAGAGGATCCAGATTCTAAAGAGAATAACAACTAGAGCAGGTCTGGGTAGGAAGGACTGTAGGTAACAATAACGAATAGCTATTTTATTTGAAGTACTTCTAATCTTTATATCACTCTACTTAAAAGGAAATCCTGAGATTAAAGATCCTTGCTTAGATCTCTTCTCTACTGCTTAGCCAAGCAAAGTATGGAGTACTCTCACTGATAACCCCAAAACTATGAACAGAAATAATATATTCTACATATAAAAGGGTACTAATAATAAGAGAAGGGAAGGAAGGATGAATACCTGATAGGTCAAAATACAGATGCCCATTTCAACAAGTTTCAGTAAATCCTGTCATTATGTCATTAGCCCTACTCTCTTCAATACTGATGATATATACAATTGCTGCTCTATTTCTCAGAGGATATGACCATTCTGTTTTATTACTTCTGGATATTGCGAAGTTCTCAGAGCTGGGGTCTGTTTAATGGTGCAGTGGAACTGGAGAGATGTTCTATGGAGCCCATAATCCACACAAGAAAACAACTTGTTCCTCCCAAGTCAAACTGGTATAGCAAACATAACATATATTGGATAAGTTATTGGATAAATAATGGATACAGGTTCTCTTATACAACCAAACACAACTCATTCATCTGAAGAAATACAAATGTGAAGAAGTTCAGTCTATCTTTCCTTTTGAGGATTTCCTGTTCTTCTCCATGTGATTCCTGTGAAACTTTCACTTAAGGGTCCTAACATACCCTGCTAGATAAGTAGGTCATGAACTAGGCTGGTGCGTAAACCATCTATTACCCTGGTGCTTTCAAGACTGTACTTTCCAGTATGCCAAAGGAACTTGGCCAACAGTAAAGCTGGCAAAGAAGAAAGCAGAGCTAACAAACAGAAAGAGTTGGTTAGGGACTATATCTACTGAAGCCAACACAAAACTCCTGGACTTCTAACCAAATCATCTTTTTACTTTTTTGCTTTTGATTAAATTAGAGTTAGCATTTTTAAAGATTCTCTGAGAATGCAAGTGTATTAAACCTTAACTTCACAAACCTGGAGAACTTCAGAGTTGGGAAGAACTTTCTGTTCCACACTGAAACATTTCATTCTAAAATAAATAGATGAAGATTTGAGGCTGAAAGAAAGTGAATGGCTGCCTGAGATTACCTGGTTAGTACTAAAACCACATCTCCTATCTTGTACTCTACCTTATCATGCTCTCACTTGTACCACTTAGTAATTAACTATACCTTCTTACTGTCACTTATTTAAAAAATACATGTTTATATTCCTCAGACTTGCTTTAGGAGTTCTCTGATGTCTATAACCAGGGTTTCCACATCTCCCTAACTACTAGCTTTGGCACCTAACTTAGATCCCAGAACTGCCTTCTTCACCTTTGTGACTGTTCACTTGTTAGGTCCTTGTTCAGGTACATGCATTTGGAATGATGAACAGGATTATTAACCTGTGATGATGAAATATGGTTACCGTGCATCACTGAGAAGCACTACTTCACTGCAAACAGGTGCAGGCCAAGTGAATGGAGGTGAGACCTCTAGATAGTTGCCATGAAATAACACTATGACAGCTGAGCATGATTACTGTCCCTTGTTATAGTGAGTAATCTTGTTTGTTCTTCAATCCTTAGAACAAATCATCAGCATGGAAAAAGCGGTAGCACTGCTATGATCCCTTACCACTGGTATGTTCGTTTTTCCTTTATTATTCTCTGGTTTTCTGTTTAATACAAACAGCAATTCAACTGCCATGCAAAATGCTGTGGCTAAATGTGCTTCCATCAACATTAGTTAATGAAGGATTTTTGGTGAAAAAGGCACTAGCCCTGTGTATTTTCCTTGGATTGGCTCCAACCTTTAAATGTACTGATACTAACTTATTATGACACATAGTCATTAGATGGGGAAAAAAACTTCACATGAAAAAGTAAGACACTATATATGATAATTGGAGAATTTGGTTGCTTTGTTGCATTTTGCTTGTTTCTCACACAAACAGGGTAATATATCATGACCATAATTTTTGCTAAGACAGTTTTGTACCACTGCTTCTGCAGTCTTTCCAACCAAGGGTCTGGCTATTTAAGAACGTTTAATATTTTTTAATGTTGTTTTTGGTTTCTTGTAGCCAAGAAATTAGATAAGCGTTTTCTTTATTTATTTGTCCAGGTGTACATGAACAACACACCCATCTAGTAACTTGACCCTTCATGTGAATACTGAAGATCAACTTCAGAAAGATCCAACTTTTTCCTTTAACCTTTACAACAAAACATTTCACTCATAGGCCAGCTGATAATGGACAGAAAGTCACAGGAAAAGGGGTTACAGCAACATTTACAATTGGACAGAACAGTACTGGAGGCAGAACATGCTGAATCAATGACTGCGGTCTAGAGAACAACCAGATACAGCAACATTGACAATTGGACAGAACAGTACTGGAGGCAGAACATGCTGAATCAATGACTGCGGTCTAGAGAACAGCATTTAGATTCTGGCTCTATAGCTCACTTAGTAATTCAGGTCTCCCATTCAAAGTTATTCTATGTGTTCTGGGATTTACTAAAAAGAATAGGTAATATAAATTCTCAGAAGAGCTCAATATTTAAAAAAGTAAATTTGTGCATTTCTCTGTTGGATATAGTCAAAGCAAAACGAAATCAATCAAACAAAAAAGCACAACATAATATGCAAGAGGTCATAAAAGATGAACTTAGCTTTCCAGAGCACTCCTGACATTCAAGACATTGATCATAGGCCTAAACAATCGTTAGTTTTCCTTTTGTTCTTTGGCTATCCATTTACTGGAATCATTAACATTTTAGGGACAGAAAGTGACATATAAATAATGTAATCTCAAGTGTTCATCCTTTTAAAAGAAGTAAAATTTCATATTGTAAGTGAAATACATGATATCTGGCATATGTGCAAATAAATAATTTTAAAGGCTGTAAGGGAGCTGTTTCAGTGGGAGAAGAAATAGAAAATTAGGGGGCCAGCCTGCCAATCTTTCTTCCTTTACTGACAGGGACACCT